AGTTTTCGTGTGACGCGTTTCAGCCATCATCAGACTTAGTTTGTTTACATTGATGCGAATACGCATGCGCATGAACGATAGACGCTGTGGGGATTTTAAATTTTGGAAATATTTAAAAACAATTTTTTTTTAATAATGTTTTTTGGGTTTTGGTTCTTGATAATGTGTTTTCATTGAGATTCTTTTTCTTTTCTTTCCATTATTTTTATTATTAATCATCCAGCATTTTGATAATAGAAGATCCAAAAATGGTGAAACGCTGTAGGTACCTAGACGCAATTTTACTATGAATGAACTAGCGATTAAAATATTTTCTACACATTTTTGTTTCAGTGAATTAATTTCTCTTTTAATCGGAGTATCGTTTTATATATATATATATATATATATATATATATATATATATATAACAAAATCGTGGATAGTCTCGTTACCGGGAACAAATAATGCGTTTTGTGGGTTATTTTTAAAAATAGCTCTTTTGTTTTTATCTAGTCTTTTAATTGGGGGTTATGGAGTGTCAGGGAGAGGTAATACCATTAGCAAGAGTTCGCCATGTCCTTTTCAGGGCAGCTCGTCTGCCACTGGTCCTCACCTGTCACCCAGCTCTCATCTGCGGCTCCTAGAAGCTGTCGCATACAACAGCGGCCACCCCTGGGTAACGGCTTTGGCGGGCCGGCCAAACCAAGTGAGATTAGGCAACGGGTTTGAAACCCCCCCCGGTGAGTTAGGCTTGGGCCGTGTCAGCCAGCCCTATTAACTCCCGGTTGTGAAAGCGGTGGCAGCAAGTGTCGTGGAGAGCCCTAGAACATGGACGTGACACCTAAAGAAGTCCTGGTCATCCACTGCAGCCTGGCAGTCTCCCGTCGTAACGGTTCCCCGTGCCACTTGATCAAGACTTCATAGGGCGATAGAGTGGGATTGTCCCCGTGCAACGATCTTCTCACTATACAATCCTCACGCACAGGTCCGTTATGCAACTCATTAATCATTACTCACTAATCTTTTATTTGAACTTCTTGAGGTTTCTTCAATATATTCTTTCTGGCAATCCTTGCAATTGATAAAATAAATTACTCGTTCAAGTTTTGGCTTACTGTTTTGTTTTGTATTGATTAAGTCTTTTGTTGTTTTAGATGTAGTTGTAACAAATTTTATGTTGGGTTTAGGTAAATTCTTTTCGTATGTAGTTGCGATCTGACTAACTCAAGCATGCGGGCAGCTTATATAGAGAGAGGCGAATTTTAATATGCAAATCGCCTTTGACCACCATGCAAGCTTTTCCGGTCCCCGAAACTCAGCGGGAACCCAGTTTTCAAGAGATACTAAAATCGGATTCCGACCTCCTGCTGGGTCTTCCGCAACCAACGTCTACTTAAGTTTAGCCAAAACCACTTACCCCGTCTGGTTGAATTCCGCCATTCAGACCACCCAAAAGTACAATTCGCCATTTATCACAAACTTTACTTTAACGAATTCGTCTCTTAATCACTCTGGAATTATTACATTTAATTAACTAATAACTTATCAATGTTTTTTTTTTATTATTATTATTCGTTGGGTTGTTTTTGGAATATTTTATGAGCCTTTTGTTTCAATTGCATATGAAATATTTTGGGTGTTTTCAATGTATTCCTCCTCTTCGTGTAGATATTAGGGGATGCAAATTGTGAGTGCTCTTATGTAGCTTCCGATGATTCTTCCGGATTTTATTTTGTTTTTATGAGGGGAAGAGAAATTTATGAGACCATTTTTATTAGTAGATTTACTGCGAACAGTAAGTTTTAAGGTGCTGCCAATAAGGTATAGCATGGTATATAGGAAAGGTAAAACATCGTTTTCTTCCATTTCATATGTAAATTCACTTCTATGTTTGACTTTGTTTAGTTTATCTATAAGATCTGGTAAATCAGTATCACGGGGATATGTTAATAGAGTATCATCAATATATCGGAAGTATGTTGATTATTTACGTAAAATATCCTGGAGAAATATTTTCAAAATGTAAAATTCCCAGCGTCTCACGTTCATGCGCAAGTGTAGTCGCTTCAACGCAAGCAAACTTAATCCGATGACGTCCTTAGGGACGAAACACGTCACACGAAATCTCTTTCCACTTTGTCATACATTCGTCCTCCAAAACTGTTCTTGACATACATACATACATACATACAAACACACACACACACATATAGATAGATAGATAGATAGATAGATAGATAGATAGATAGATAGATAGATCGTTACCCCATACACACACATATCTGTTGGTTAATTGAATGATAAAAAGGGAAAAAGTTCTATGCAGCGCTTTTCGTACACGAAATGGACTTCATCAGACTAAAGTAATGTTCTTATTGAGGGAATTATATATATATATATATATGTCGGAAGGAGAGGAGAAATAAACACATAAACGATGCTTATAATTTGGCATCGAGGGAAACGCTGTAGATGGTGGGGGTTGACGCTGATTTTCTTCGTTTCCCTTCGGGGCATAATTATAACAGAAGTTTACGTTTAATATTTCTACACTACCGACTCCACTATATATATATATATATATATATATATATATATATATATATATATATATATATATTTCGATCAATAAGAATATTAATTTACTCCGGTGACGTCTTTTTATAGAACAAAATGTGTTATACATTTTTTTTTCTTTTCTGTCATTACCTAACATTGTTCTGACATATAAAATGCATATATCATATTCTCTCTCTCTCTCTCTCTCTCTCTCACACACACACACACACACACGCAAACAAACACACACGCATACATACATACATACATACATACATATATATATATATATATATATATATATATATAGTATTTTTTTTATTAATCCAACATAGTTTTATCCCTTTAATCTTTATTTACCCATATTTAAACAGAAGCCTCGTTTATTTATTTAAACAATATATTTATTTTCATCTACCGGTCTGAATATTTGAGAAATCTTATTAAAGAAAAACGTGCACTACAGCAGGATATTCAAACCTGTAGGCAAAAAGGAAACACAATTTAAAAAAAACGAACGTCTACTCAAATAAGGGTATCCACTAAAAATAATGTTTAAAGTGATAAAATACACGCAGAACAGTCTTCGCAATTATTAAGTCTTTCGTATCGAGTAGGTCCATGAAAGTATTTATCAATGGAAAGTCTTCTGAAACCCATAAGATCAATTTAGGCGTTCCCCAAATTTCATTCCCCGGTCCTACCCTCTTTCTGCTCCCTCTCTTCTGGATCTGTGTTTTACCTCCATCCCCGAGTCTTGTAGCCCTCTCGGTAACTCCGATCACGCTGTAGTGTCTGTTAACATTTTCTTCAACTCAACCCCCTGCAAAGAACCTTCTACTTCTAGAACGCGCTGACTGGGACTCGTTCCGTGATTTTCTCCGCGATGTCCCTTGGGATGCTGTCTTTACGCTCCCCGTTCAAGAATATGCTTCTGAGGTCTCCTCCTGGGTCAAAGCTGGAATCGACGCTTTTATCCCCTAAGGAAATTTAAGGTCAAATCACGCTCCTTCCCTTGGTTTTCTGCTGCTTGCCACCATTGCCCACAGGAACCACCTCTTCCACCTCTATCGTAGCGACATGTCTGACTGCAATAGATGTCTCTTTGCCTCTGCCCGTAATGAGTGTAAGCGTGTCCTCAACGAAACTAAGTCGCTATTTGCTGCTCGAGTGAAGGAACGCATTGCATCTCGCAAATTCGGCTCCAAGGATTATTGGCATCTCTGCAAGAAACAGTAGCAAACCCTCTATACCTCCTTTGTTCAATCAGTTTGAAGTCCTGACCTCCTCTGCCGACAAGGCTGAATGCTTTGCTCGGAAATTTTAATTCAACTCAACGCTCGACTCTTTCGGTGTACCCATACCCGATTTCCCTCTTAGAACTGGGGCCATATTGAGCGACTTGCACATAACCCCGTCATTGGTATTGGGTATTATCTCTAATTTAGACCCCCACAAGGCTATTGGTGGAGATGAGATACCAGCCATTGTCTTGAAGAAATGTGCGCCTGAACCGGCGCCTGCCATCTCCAAATTATACAACTACTGCCTCAGGGAATCTTGTTTTCCAGACTGCTAGAAGTCCTCATCGATTGTTCCCGTCTTTAAGAACTCTGGCGACCCCTCTGACCCTTCTAATTACCGTCCAATCAGTCTCTTGCCCCTCTTCGGCAAAGCCTTTGAAGCTTTAATCAACGCCGCAGTGGTTCACCACCTTACATCTCATGATCTGCTCTCAGACAAGCAATATGGTTTCCGCTTTGCCCGATCTACAGCTGATGTGCTTATGGCCATCACTGAAATTGTCTACCAAGCTCTTCAGAATAACGGAGAAGCTCGTGCCGTGGCCCTAGACATCTCCAAAGCGTTTGATCGGGTTTGGCATGCCGGCCTTCTTCGCAAGCTCCAGGGCTACGGTATTACAGGTCAATTGTTTGACTTAATACAGTCATTTCTGTCAAACCATGAACTGAAGGTCGTTCTCAACGGATTCTCCTTCAGCTCCTATCCTACGAACGCAGGTGTTCCCCAAGGCTCCATCCTACGGCCTACTCTGTTCCTTATCTTCATCAATGATCTTCCTGACGCCATTGACAGTGGGCATCTACGCGGACGACACTACAATTTACTCCTGCCTCAAAAACACATCTAGTGTCATTGACAAAACTAACCTGGCCGTTCGTCACGAAAAGGACCTCCAATCGGTTGTGAACAGGGGCCTTAATTTGCTGGTTAACTTTAACGCCACCACCACAAAACTGCTCTCTATTAATCACCACAGAGAACCTTCCCTGCCCCCTTATCAGGATGTCTGACGCTCAACTTCCCGAAGGCGCCTCTCTGCGGCTGCTCGGTCTCACGTTGTCTACTGTCGTTTATTAGGTAGACATTTAGTAAAAATAAAAAATGAAGTTTATTATAAAATTATTTCTGGTTGTCTTACTGCGTTTACAGGCGAAATGCCGTAAACTTGATATTCATCGACACCCTTCTCCTGTAACATTTGCGTGAACCTAAGACTTGGTTACATTCGATCTTCCCAGACTTTTCATTCCCCTCGGGTGGTATAAAAACCAACTAATCATTTTCCGGGCTGTTATTATAGGAGTAGTGAAGGAAAGCAAGAAGAAAGGATTAACCCTCATCCGTATAGTGGCCGAAATTACGACCCTCACCAAAAGAAAATGCCGAAGACACGAACTACGAATCGGAGATGACAACATCAAACAAGAAGAGAATTATGAATAAGTCGGAAGAGATGTGGAAAAAAAAAAGGATTCGAAAAAGCGACAGCGAAATACGAACGCGCATTCGATTAGCGAAAGTTGCCTGCCAAAAACTAAGCAAAGTATCAAGAAACAGAAAAATTCCGTCATAAAAAAAGAAATGAATACTGAGCTGTTATGCAATATTAAGCCTCTTGTATGGCAGTGAATGCTGGACAATCTCCTCACAGATGACGAGAGAACTGAAAGCAACAGAAATGTAGTTCTACAGAAGGATGCTGAGAATACCAAGGAAAAATCTCAAAGAAAAATTGAACAAAAAGTACATTATAATCAGAAAGAGACTGATGAAATTTATTGGATATTTAATGATGAAGGAGGGGTTGGAGAATTTGACACTCACAGGGCATATCGAAGGCAAAAGGGACAGAGGAAGACAGCGGTTCACCATTAAAGTCTTGTTTGAATGGATGGCAGGACAAACGTGCGGGCGTCATGAGAAAGAGACAAACATTGCTAATGGACTCAAGGGATAGGAAATTGTGGAGAGCCATGATCACCCATATTCTGAAATATGCTGGATATAAAAAAGAGTGTAGGGGTGCAGGTGGACTAGTGGAATCAGCTGTAAGCGTTTATACTAACTTCACCCTATCTCCTTTGAAAGAATACATTTTTTACATTTAGCGCAACGTTTCAGCTGCCATACGGCCTTCTTCAGGAGGGCACTGTCTGTGAGAAAAAGAGCACATTGACACAATTCACTTCACCAGATATTTGGAAACATTATGCTGTACTTCTTGGCCTTCATACCAGAAGCACCAATAAGGACATTTCAGCGTATTTGGGTGTCAATCTGAGGACAGTGCAGAGGATTCAGAAAGAGTTGAATGAGTATAATGGTGATTACGAAGGTGTTTGTGGTGATCACTAGTAATGGTAACGTTATGCCTTCATTCATTTTCCCACAGAGCTTCAGACTTAATACGGAGGCCTACAGCAAGCGCCTTGAGGAGGTAGTGCCAAGAGGGTGGTTACTGGGAGACCGTATGTCTGGAAACAGGACTCTGCACCATCGACACAAGCAGGAGAACTTAGTCATGGCTGTCAGACAATTTATGCGAACATAACACCACTTACATTTAGCCACCTAACTCTCCAGGTGGCAACCACCTAGATTATTATGCATGGAGCGCAGTTGAGGGTGAGATCAACAAAAATTCTTGTAACACCAAAGATGAACTGAAGGCAAGGATTATGACAGCATTGACCAAATCAAACAAGGAGACCATTAAGAAGTGTTGCAGAAGATTCCAAAGTTATCTGGAGGCCGCGGTTGAAGCCAATGGTGATTTTATTGAATATATTTACTTTTTAGTATTTCAAGATATTTTGGGGTAATTAGTGTTATTTTCATTTTTGCGTAATTTGCATCCCACCCACCTCTCTCTCTCTCTCTCTTTTTCTCTCTCTCTCTCTCTCTCTCTATATATATATATATATATATATATATATATATGGTCTCTCTACCTATTTTCAATAGGATTGTTTATAAACAATACCCTGATGATAACACTGCAATATCGAAAGTACTTGGAAATAAAAGAAATATGTATAAACACAGCGATTTTCTCTCGTCACTCAATAATGACACCAAAATGCTTATCCGTGAATATGAAAGGATCCTATTGAAAATAAGTAGACAGAACATGTCTAAATTATTCAACCAAACATGTCTCTATTTTATAACTATATATGCTATTTTTAAATGGTACACGTGTTTTGTTTGGATGTACGTTGTGGCGTAAAGTTTAGGAATGAGAATCAAAGAGCCGAGTTCGAATTCCAGTCGAATTCGTTACATTTACTTACGCCAAAATAACCTGGGGAAAGGTATGAATCCATTTCTTCTTTCCCAAACTATGGGTTGAATAGCAGGACAGAGTGGGTCCTTGAGCCATGGTTGGCAACTAGTCTATCGCAGAAAGTAACGGTGAACGCCTGCGGGAAAATCTACCTAGTCAGGGATGAATCGAATTCGTCATGATCGCCCAGGCACTTAACTGGATGACACGTTTTTGAATAGATCTGTCTATCTATCTATTTATGACTCTATTGATATCTATCTATCTATCTATCTATCTATGACTCTATTCATATCTATCTATCTATTTATGACTCTATTCATATCTATCTATCTATCTATCTATCTATTTATGACTCTATTCATATCTATCTATCTACCTATCTATCTATTTATTCATGACTCTATTCATATCTATCTATCTGTCCTGGTGATACAAGAATAAAACCGTGCAAGACAACAAAAACATTATCATTTGATTATTTTCAACAGCAATATGAACTAAAATGGATGTCACACTTAACTTGAAGCGAAAATAATGATATAATCAAGATTTTCAAAGAAAAGTTTGGGAAGGAAGCCGTCATTAATACTGGAAAGAGCAATAACAGCTATTGGACTGAAGAAGACTATTTTGATGAAAAACTGCTGCAAGAGAAAGATTTTATAAGTTTAAACCAACAGTGACACAGGCTGGTCGGTCAATGGATATTTCCTTATAAAGAAAACGGCTAATACTAACATTACTATTGCTATCTAAATCAGTTGGTTCATCTCCCTCTCATATATATATATATATATATATATATATATATATATATATATATATATATATATATATATATATATATATATATGGAGGTGGTTATAGCTGTTCCAACGTGAGAAATGTTTATATAATAAAAAGAAGAGAGAAACCGAAAACATTTTTGGTTGTAATGTGGATTTTTAAAAATATATATATATATATTATGCTTTAATTTCCATAATCTTGCAACATGGGTTTCGGGCCCTGCGACCTTCTTCTTCAGGCAAAAATTCACATTACAGCCAAAACTTTTGGGTTTCTCTCTTCTTTGTAATATATATATATATATATATATATATATATATATATATATATATATATATATATATACATAGAGAGAGAGAGAGAGAGAGAGAGAGAAAGAGAAAAGAGAGCGAGAGGAAAAAATTAGTAATTATACATTTGTACTGAACAATAATTTTAATTTCTTCCTCACCTTTGACTGGTAATTCCGTATAATTATACTAGGTTAATGCCTGGGCTTTTCTAACTTAACTAATCTCCTCTTATTACCTTTCGAAAATGTTTCATCATAACATAGGGTTTTTGTAGATACATGCCAGTTAGCGTATGTATGCGCTTAAATGTAGATATCTAAGTGTATGTTCATGTAGACTACTATACGAGTAGGTATTATTAACGTGGACTAACGCATGAGAACGCATACATATATATCCAAATTCACCCCAAATCCTTAAAAACACTCTCACAATCTTTGAACTCTGATATATAGACGACTTTAATACCAATAATTCCGAATTAACTCTCTTTCATTTTACCAAAGTTACCGCTTGATTGTTTTTTTTCATGTTTTCGTTAATTTGCATGAATTCCCGTCGAATTAAATTTTGAGCTCGTGACCATTAGGATGTAGGTCAGTTCATCGGTCTCCCCTACTTCCCCCTACACAGGCTCTCCTACCCTCATTCCAGTAACAGTGCCTTCTTCTTCTTCTTCCCATACCTCCCAATAAGACCCCTATAACATACTCTCTCTCTCTCTCTCGCTTTCTTTCTCCAAATAAACAGCACACGACAAACTGATATCATAGACAGCTTTAAAAATCCTGCGAATTTTAAAATTAAAATTCATAGGTGAAAATGGTCATTTACTAAAGGTATCTTAATTCCAATTGTAAAGAAAATTTTCTCTGTTTAATAAAAAAAAACAATGGGCGCTATTTTGTGAATCAGTTTTAACATATTTCAAATTCTATGTTGTGTTAATAGGACACGCCTGGATTATACCAAGGATTACTACCTATATATATATATATATATATATATATATATATATATATATATATATATATATATATATATCAGACTTTACTTCCAAAAAGCTGATGATCCAGAACCCTGTTAAAGGTGTTATGGTGAAATAGCTTATTACATGGAATCTTAACGTGGTCTGTCTTTTATTCAAACATATCTGCTCTGAATTTTACATTGAGCTCTCTGGATATCATCCTCCTCAGGTCTACCTATATGGATTACCTAAATTTGCATAAACTATATATATATATATATATATATATATATATATATATAATATATTCAATCAGTATTCTTTTGATGAAAAGTGGATAACTCAGCATTCAACCAGTGGAAAATTTAACGAGAAACCACTCCTCTATTATTCCCAAGACCAATCATGGCAATGCAATTTACACCGATAAAAAGAATAAAAGGAAGATGTGGAGAATTATGATCGCCTACTTTCTGAACTAAAATAGCACTTAAAGAAAGAAAGAAAGAAAGAAAGAAAGAAAGAAAGAAAGAAAGAAAGAAAGAAAAAAGAAAGAAAGAACGAGATTATTTGTAAAAGCGATTATTTCTGGTTAGGGTGAAAGCTTCACAAGAACATTTCCAATCAATTTACTTCCAACGTTCCGGATTATTACTTCCCTCTCTTCATCAGCGTGAAAGGTAATTTTGTTACTACAAGAGGCGCAAAGAAACATCTCATTCACTTGCCCATTAGTAGAGAGAGCATTAAATCCGTTTGCAGAAGAACTAAAAGGAAGTTTAATGGCGCAGAGACATACTTTTCAGCGGAACCAAGTACCAAACGAGTTCTTTCAGGAGAAATGCTTATGTTTCTGTAAAGCAAAGCTATTTTTTGTTTTAATACTCAATGTTTCCCCAAAGATCTTGTTAATATCACTTTTAACGAGTTCATTTTTTTTTCAAATAACGATTCCTTTATGTTTAATCTTTATTATAAATAGATATACTCGATCAGTTTCAGAGCAATATAAACTAATGGCCTCCAGTGGATACCAAGTGACAGCAACTGTTTCCTGAATCACACTATTCTCTTCTGTTATCTATCTATCTATCTATCTATCTATCTATCTATCTATCTATCTATCTATCTCAATCTGTGTATAGCTATCGATCGATATCAGTCTGTTCATATCTATCTATCTCAGCTTGTTCATTATCTATTTATCTAGCTAGCTATCTCAGTTTGTTGATTATCTATCTATCTATCTATCTATCTATCTATCTATCTATCTATCTATCTATCTATCTATCTATCTATCTCAGTCTGTTCATTATCTATCTATCTATCTCAGTCTGTTCATATCTATCTCTCAATCTGTTCATATCTATATATCTCAGCCTGTCGATATCTATCTATCTATCTATCTATCTATCTATCTATCTATCTATCTATCTATCTATCTATCTCTGTTCATAACTATCTATCTCAGTCCGTCAATATCTGTCTAAATTTTTACCTATCTAAGTCTGTTAATATCTATCTATCTATCTATCTATCTATCTATCTTGCTAAGTTTGTCAGTCTGTCGATATCTATCTATCTATCTATCTATCTATCTATCTATCTATCTATCTATCTATCTATCTAAGCCTTAAGTTTGTATCCCGATATATATTGAAATATACACATATTTAATTTTTTGTACGTAATTTGTTTGAAGTATCAATTAAAGCTTGAAATGCGAAAAAATATTGAAAAAGTATTGTTAAAGATGCTAGGAAAATGGTTCGCCACAATAAATATCTAACTCTTCATTTTATACGTTATCCTTACTAGATCCAAATCAAACTAAAAATGGAGTATTGCTGCCATATCTGGACTGCAACTTCCCAGTCCTCACTTGCCTGAATTTAATATCTACGCGGCCTTATAAGTGATGAATTATTTATACCACCCTAGAAATCCTCTCAGAAACCCTCTACCTTAACTGCTTCTTGGGCCTTGTATTGGGTGAACATTAGTATAAAAATTAACAGAATGTCGGTAGGGAATTTAACGATATTTAAAAGAGTTTTCATACTTGCTCAGTGGGGCTTAAATCTGGTTAGTACTGGGGGATAGATGAGCTAGTTTCGTGTCACCTACGGAGGTTATCTTGATTGTCGTGTAGCCACCTGTCTAAGCAGCTCAGATTATCTCCTGCCACCACCCCCCAACACAAGAATATGCCCGGGTAAAGATTAACTTAACCCTTTGACTCCTGCGTTCCTGAACAATTTTAACCCTTCTGCCTGAGCTCCTGTGTTAAAATTTACAAATAATTGATATTTAATGTTTCACGGTAGATATAAAAATAGTTACAAGTGTTTACCCACCGTTCAACCGGTAGCTGGGTATTAAGTCATTTTTCTCTACCACTGTTCAACCGGTGGCAGGGCATTACGTCATTTTTCTCTACCACCGGTCAAGTGGTGATCAGGCTCAAAGGGTAAATGAAGAAAATCCAGGAGTATGGTTGGATCTTGCCTAGCTCGGTGTACAAACTAGTATAGTTTAATTTCTACTCGGTTCTGTCAGTTCATATCCGTTTTTATTACTAATATCAGTTATTTAATTATTTTTTTTATTTGCTAGAATATTACAAGCTTGCTCCAGTGTAAAAGCAGGTAATAGCTGCTGATATAAAGTCATTTAATTGTAATTAAATACTGGCTGATGAAAACTGATAGGCATTGAGTTAAACCTATTAATATGCAAACCAAGAAGTGACGGTTGTAGAATACATGCAAGAAATCGCTGCGAACGCCTCACGCTACATGAACCATGTAGGAATGTCTATATTTTGGCCGACGAGGCGAGTATATTTTAGCATGGCTTATTTTGTAGCCAAAAGTTATTTCTCTAAGCGTTATTTTTCAATTTGAGTCAGTGTGAATTACGTCTGTCGTCCTTTGCATTCGAGATACTTAATAAAAGAAAATGCCCACTGCAGCAGGCTTCGAACAAGCGTCCTTGTTTTGTAGAGAAAACCTCCGCCTGATCTCCTGGGCTTTAGATCTCTAGGTTAGGGTGTTACAGCCCACAAAATTCATATCTCGAAAGCCCAGATCTAATTCCTTTTTAACTTTCGTGTCCAAAACGCAAACGAAATCTGTTCGCAGAGGAATAGCAAAAACAGAACTGCTCTCCATTAATCGTTTGAGAGAAGACTTTTTGCTTTCCATGAGAATGGCTGGTGATAGACTGTAAGAGAGTGGCTCGAAGTGGGAAGATTTTATCGAATTGATCGCTAGGTCGGCTGCTAGGACATTTGGTTCACTGTGTGGTGCTATACAATCTTTTCTCGCTAGAATCTATCTTATAAATTTACAAGTCTACCATTCGTCCCTGCATAGACTATTGCTGCAGCATATGGTCTGGTGCTCCTGCTATATATTTAGAGGTTCTTGAGAAAAACCAAAGAAGACTCTGCAATATTATTGGTCCGGAACTTGCATCTCAACTTCAGTCAATTTCCCACCGCCGTAATGTAGCATCCCTGTGTCTTTTCTATAAATGCTTCCATGGTAATTGTTCTAATGAACTTTCTGCTGTGGTGTCTAGACTTTGAAAATTTGTTTCGGACATTTTGGTTAGCATTATTCGAAGTTGTAGCGAGAGTCGAAGACAAAAATTCAGGGCGACCTGGATAAGACGATGAACTACATCCGTGTCCTGGGTAAGTCGATAGACTACGTCCGCGTTCTGGATAAGATGATAGACTACGTCCGCGTTCTGGATAAGACGATGAACTACATCCGTGTCCTGGGTAAGACGATAGACTACGTCCGCCTTCTAGATAAGACGATAAACTACAGCCGTGTCCTGGGTAAGACGATAGACTACGTCCGCGTCCTGCATAAGACGATAAACTACATCCGTGTCCTGGGTAAGACGATAGACTACGTCCGCGTTCTGGATAAGACGATGAACTACATCCGTGTCCTGGGTAAGACGATAGACTACGTCCGCGTCCTGGATAAGACGATGAACTACATCCAAACCAAACCAAACCAAACCAAACCAAACCAAAAAAGCAGGCAAAATGTTGCAAAAAATAGTGTTTACGTGACTAAATTTGTTGTTGTAGGATCCCAGAAAACAATGTAGGTTATTTTTTTTTTAAATACTGTTAAGTTAACTTGTCTGTTACTAACCATATTCATTTCAATGACATTACAATGACTTTCGAAGCAAAAAAAGAGAGAACAACTATTCAGAACTGACCACGTAAAAATAACGCAATTATGAATTTTACGAGTGCTTTACTTGTCAAATACTTGTAGTTATGTTCTGGGTATAACGATAAACTACATCCGGCAGCAAGACTTCGAATCTGGAGATTGAAGTTATTGAGAAGCGTAGAATTCCCTCTTATTTGCTGGGTAAGAGATAAACTACACCCAACAGTAAGGCCTCTGATCAGGAGGTTTTGTGGAGTATAGAACCACCTCTTAATTGCTGGTGTTCCCAGGTCCACACTGACCCAAGGTGGTAGCGTCTGTTAGGGTCCCAGCTATGAGCAAATAGCGAACACCCAAACAAAAATCAAAACAGTAGTAAAAATACCAGCAATATATTTTTTATAAAAATTTACCAACAATATGTTTTTTCATTGAAATTAACAATACTTTTTTTATAGCAAAATGACAATTAATACAACATAAAAAAGTAGGAAAATACATTTTCATATTAAAATTACAAACAATATATTTTTATAAATAAATTACTAACAATAAATCCTTTTATCTATCTACTATAAATCTAAAAAACATGCGTTTGACTGAAAGTATAAAAGGATGTACAAAATGTATGTAGCTGAAGCTATGAAATGGCGTACAAAATATTTATATTTCGTCATTAAATGACCCATAGAGGTGTTGATAATTAAAATTAATCAACCAGCCAACCAACTTGTAGTTAAGATGAAATTATACAAGTTTGGAATTCCCAACACTGTCTACTTTTATAGACAATATATCATTTGGGAAATGTTCCCAAAATAACAAATGTTCCCTTGTATACCTACCGTACCCTAGCAGAGCGCAAGCAACGTTATTACAGAGACACTTGTTTGCACAAAACTTTTCTGACAGGAAGGATCCGTAGACTCATGCGTTCTCCTCTGCGCACGAACTCGACCGTGACAACAACCATTGTTACAGAATGTGAACGCCTGGGCCTGGGCCAGAATGATCATCGATTGGCCGGAGTGACTCATGGGCGGGTCATTCTAACAGTAATGGATTGCCTTTGTCTGGGTTTGAAATATAAGTCCAAAACAGCGCGAATTCAAAAGAAGGTTTCGAGAATTCTGACGCGTTGATAAGTCTCCCACATCCTGGTTTGCGACCGGTTAATACCATCCTCGGAGAGATACTGAGCAAACGTGCGACATGTGTTCTTGTCACATCAATACTCCTGCGGCCTTGTAGAATCCAAACTGCCACTCTTAATAAAAACCAGTGCCAAAAGTAAATGACGCTTTTCGTTGATACCGTTTTTATTACTAGCGTTGCGATCCCGAGAGGACACAGGACACAACACCATGCAGCGTTGTCCACGCTGACTAGATTTATAACCGGTCTATTTCTGATCTTGAACTCTCTTCTCCGGTAAATATAGGAAATTTTAAACAAAAAATGTATATCTATATATAAAGTTGTAGCTTCTCTCTGTCTGTTTGCTATCAAACTATTTCTGTAGTTTTGGAGATAGACTCCCATAACCATATATATTATGAAATTTACATTACCCAGGGTACTTAGAGTATAAAGTATATTTCATTTTGATCAAAAGAGGGCCCCGGTGTGTGTGTGTGGGGGGGGGCAAAAACCCCACTGAATTGTTTTTCCTTTTGATTTGAATTAAAATTAAATTTGAACAAGGGAATGACTCCTATGCAAAATGTAGAAGGAGAAAGCCAGAAGTTGGACGCCACATCGACAAAATCAAAATGAGACAATATGGACGTCAAGTTGAGCAAGAAATCACGAATCAGTGGGTAGTGCCTTACAATGCATATTTGTTGCAACAATTCAACTGTCATATCAATGTTGAAATCTGATCATTAATTCATTCAATCAAGTATTTCATCAAATACATATTAAATTGGTCAGATGAAGCTGTTTTAGGATCCCCAACTGAATTGTTTTTTTTTCTTTTTTTGATTTAAACTAAATTTAAATTTGAACACGACAATGACTCCTATCGAAAATATAGTAGGAGAAAGGCAGATGATAGACGTCACAATCAGCAAGATCATTGAGTAATATTAAAATGTATCATAGTTTCCACAAATTATAACAATGATTTAAAATTAATCATCATTTTCTCACAAAAATATGTAACACGCAGCAAGGTGCGGGTAATTCTAATATATATATATATATATATATATATATATATATATATTAGAAAATGCTATATAAAAATTTATATATCATAACAATGTTAGGAAACCTAATGACAAAGTGGAAAAATATTTTCGTGTGACGCTTATCGTCCTTCTGATATCGGATACTTAAAATCAAAAGTGATAAAAATATAAACAAAAGAAAAATAAACTAAATAAAATTGGCTACACGATATTCCCAAACACATATTTTTAAAAAAA